AAAATCACCAAACTGGCTGTGTAGAAGCCCAGTTTAAAGGCTGCAGTATTTAATGCAATGTTATAATCAGCTATTCCCATCTCCAAGGAAGTGTCAAAAGGTCCTCATTTTTCTCTTTCACTTACTTCCTGCTCTAAATATTAAAATGCCTCAAATTCAACTAGCATTAACTTTTAACAGTTCCCTGTAATAAAAACCATAAATAATGCCTTCTCAAATTATGAACCACAACATTTTCATTCTGATCATTTCAGCTATATTTCTCACTTTAAACCCAGGTGTCATTCAAGTTTATAATAGATTACAAACAAACTGAACAGAAACATAACTCAATCCAATTTAATCTTTTTGAAGATTTATACAATTTCTGCCAACGTTTTTCAGTGTTCATAGTTGTGCACATATACATTTTCTTACAGCCAAAACAGGAAGCAGGAACAGCAAACTATGACTGAAAAGGATAACGTATCAGCATTCGTAGTACGCAACCATTGATCCTTTGGATCATGGTGTGTGTGTGACAGGTCACCAGGACCTTTGACGCATACACCTATGCAGGAGTATGGAGTGGAAGCTGCCTAGACCTTTCATTCTGCCTTTAGACCATTGAGACAGAATCCAAAGGACAAACTGTGTCTGGACATTCAGTGCCTTGACAGCTGTAATTATGTACACATCCGGGAAATGAACCCAGGTCTCCCACATGGCAGACAAGGATTCTACCACTCTAAACTGCCAAAATGAGGATATAATTTAAATACGGTAAGAAAGCCTATTCTGATGAGGCTTAAAGATTTATTTCCAGATTTGAATGATTTACATTAGGGGAGTCAAGCATACAGCTCATAGGCTGGATAGGCCACAGAGCCATTCCATCTGGCCTGACAGCCACTAACTAACAGGCTACTGGGAGTTCCATTCTGGCCTGCCACAGAATTAGGGGTCCCCATGCTCCATTACACATGGCATTGTGGCAGGGTTGAGCAAAGGTTGTGCTTTCACAGTATCACTTGCCTTGCTGCCACTAAACCCTGCTGTCACTATTAGACCTCTGTTGCCATTACCAGACTCCCCCTGGCACCTCTATCAGAATCCCTCCCACCTCCACCCCCAAAACCACCAGAACCACTGCCATTGCTGCTGTTGGGTCCACATATCCAGCTTTGGAAGTGCCCTGTGTTCCAGACTGGGCCTAGGGCCCAAGGTGATTTTGGTGCCCCTGCAAACTCAGCAAACCTTAATCACAATATTTGAGGTTCACTGTTCTACTGAAATGTATTCTTTAAGATGCAGGAGCTAATTTCTCAAACTTGGGTACCAAAATTTAGGTAGTTAAATCTGTATTTAAGCAGCTCAATACCATATTTACTCAATCCAAAACATTTTTCTTCCCTGTTCAATATGGGGAAAGCTAAGTCTCTTCTTAGAATCAAGTATCAGACTGCTCCAGCTGGGAGCTGTGGGGAGCAGCTGTGCATAGAGGCCAGCTTGGCTGGGGACAACATCAGCAGAGCACAGGTTCCTCCTTCCAGCTTCTGCTTCCAGTCAGGTCACCCTCCTTTTACCTCCCTTGCTGGCAGAGTACAGACATTGGAAGCAGAAATCTGTACACAGGTGCTACAGTCCCTAGCTGAGCTGCTCTTCACAGTTCCCAGCTGGAGTGATTTGACTCCCACCTGACACGGACACAGGAAGAGCCTTATTGCTGCTCCCGACTTGCTTCTGCCCAGTGCTACAAGGTGCATAGGTTCCTCCTTCCAGCTTGCTCCTGGGAGCCAGCTCCCTGCACAGCTGCTTCCTGAACCATGGGTCAGTAGCAGTTCTGTGGCTCTCTCCATGCCTGTATCAGCTGGGTGCAGCAGTAGTTTCATGTATGTTCCTCTTTTCAGCCCCTGCTCTCAGCCAGCAGGGAGCAACAGGAGGCAAGAAGAGCCAGGCAAGGAGCAGGAGCTGGAAGCAGGAAACTTGTGTCACCCTCGCTGTCCCCAGCTGAGCTGGGTTCCTGCACAACTGCTCCCTTCAGCATGGAGCAGGTGCAAGCCAGGAACAGCTCTGGGGATCTCACTGTGCCCAGATCAGTGGGGGACAGAAGTGGAAGAGGGGCAGGCAGGGACAAGTGGTACAGAGGCAGGCACCAGGGAGTGTAAGCACCAGGGGGGGCAAGGTGCATGGGGAAGGCTCAGGTTGCTTGCTCCCCATACCACTTGCCTGCCCGCTCCCAACCCCTCTGCCACTTGCACCCTCCACCCCTGCTTTCCCCACTGCTAGCCCCCCATCCCCGCTGGGCTCAGCTGCAAACAAGAGCATCAGCAGTGATAGGCAGGGGGGTGAGTTCCCCCCGCCCTGCTCAGTCCCCCAGGAGCAGGTACAGGGCAGGCCCCCTCTGCCCATTGCTGCTGCCATTGTAGCTGTTCCAAGCTGGAGCAGGCAAGAGCAGTTGGAAGCTTCCCCCACCCCCAGACAAGCAGAGGAAGCAGCAGTGGTAGGCAGGGGATGTGGGAAAGGGAAGGGGATGGAACATGCTTTAGAAAAGTTTTTGGAGTGTTCCTGTGGCACAGCCTCCCTACACCAGGAGATGTGGGTGAGGAAGAGGTTGGGAGTGGAGGGGGTAGCCACTCCTGCAGCACAAGTGGTTACTCCCACACACCACCCCTCTTTGCCAAATCCTAGAACATGTCCTGCTCAACACTCACAAAGGTCAATATTCAAACACATCTGAAAACTAGGTCACTTATTTAGGTGCCTATGTAAGTACAATATACAGGGAACTTGAAGCTGTCCTGAGGTACTTTTCCCTTTCAGTGGCCTGATCTGGCCAATAGGGTTCCACCCAAGTCTGCAAATTGGGCAGCAAGATGAGTGGCAGCAGCATTAACTAGAAGATAAATTAATACTATCACCACTTAGCACACAGTCAAATTTCTGGACCTCTGGAGAGCCCCAAGAGCTCAGCTCCATGGGCTGGGTCTTGCCCATATCTTGACACTCCTGCTCTAGAAGGTCACAATCCAGGGAATGCAGAACCAAACAAAGTCCATGAAGCCCAAGACACAGCAAAGAAGCATCTGTCCTGTTAAGGAGCCTGCTGGAAGCTGAAAAAGCTGCTGTTTATAAGCAAGCAGCCACCTATGCAGGTAATTGGAGGCAGCTGGGGGCAATTTAGTCTGCCTGCTGTCCTGAGTCCTGACACACAGGATTGCTGACCAGGGGCCAACAAAGGCTGAGGATCATTGCTCTAGAGCCTAAACTCAGGCACTTACATTTGAAATTGTCATATTGAATGAAATAGTTTGAATGTTTGTAAAGATTGCCCATTAGCCAGTTTCAGGAAGAAGATAGGATCTATCTCCTTATCTAGCTCATTGTTTTGGAGCTACGTGCGAAATGTCCTGACTTCGCCTAAAACCTTAATCTAAATTGTACCTTTAGAAATTTTTTACAAAGAAAGTAAATATCCTAAATTCAGAGACATCAAAGCCTAAGGCCTTTTAACCAAATTGCTAAGAAAAGAGTATTTACAGTGATATGGAAGTCTCCCCAAGAATAATTTAAAAATGCTCAACAAAGGTAATTTCTGTTGAGTAAGATCCGAGCCCAAATTTGGGAGTTATGATGAATTGAGTAGGAGGAGCCCAATGACGGCAGCTCACTCAATAAAAACCTGTAACTTACTGTCCCAATTTGGAGGTGACTTCACTTGCAGAACAACGAAGGAAGAATCGCAAGTATAAGTTCAGATTAGATTGATCGCCTAATCAAGCCTCTCCGTGAACACGAATCTCTTAGTTCATGCTGAAGCCGCGGAGCACCTGAAAGGGACTGAAGGAAGGGGACGTAGTCCTATCACTGGTGAGCCCAGCTCATTGAATCGTATTGCTGAGGCCAGCCTATTGAACCGTACTACTGAGGCCAACCCATTAAATCGTACTACTGAGGAATGAAACCATATTTAGGTGTTTGGCTTCTCGGAATTCTAGGATTGTAAGTATATTATGAAAAATAACAGTATTGATTCAAATTTAACTTTTAGTTGTAATTGTAGTTGTTTTTGTAGCACTAATTCTTATAGCATTTTTTGGGAAGGAAGTGCATTCGGAGCATTGTTTCTGATATATGTAATTATTGTGTTTTTAATGTTTGTGGTGTTTCTTAAAGCTAAGCAGTGTTATATACGTAGCAAAGAGTTTTAAAATAAAATTGTGTTGTATAAATTAAGTGTGTAATCATTGTGAAATCGTGCAATCAGCTAACTACTCCCCCAGCCAGTGCATCAAAACGAATCAGTAAATTGTGTGGGATTTTCTCTATTCCATAACCCACTAGAGACAGAAATGTTGCCTTTGAATCCTTACATACATACACACAGACAGAGGCATGCATAGAGACACACACACACACACGCACATACATGTGTAGCTTAACAGGATATTTTTCAAATAGGACTGCAGAGGGTGACAGAGCTTCTGCAGTAAAAATGTGGGTATGCAGTGAAAATTTTCTCCATCCCCTCACCAGCACTGTTTACTGTATTTATCTATGTTCTTACTACTATTTGTCTTCCATTCTGCTCTTTAATATATATTTTACCACCCATTAGCTTTTTGTTCTGGCTCCAAGTCATACCTTATTTCATTCTTCCCAGTTTCTGTCTATAACCTCAAGTGTCTAACAAAGGCACTCAGCATGTGAAACTGATAGAAGGCATACAACAGTTACAAACACTGCCAATATTTTTGCAAGTCTGCACCTGTTCTTTTTTTGTTGATTACATGTTATTCAGAAATCACTTGCTAAATGTTGCAACCTGGACATTCAACAAAAGTACTTTTTTCTAGAATGCTCATCACTTAGAAACCTGAATAGCATAACAGAATAGTTTTTCATTACAATGCTAGGGAGTTTATAAATGCTTTCTAGTAATGCATTTTACGTATCTAGCTCTGCTTATACTAAAATTTATGTACTGTAGATGTTAATGATGATCATTTTGGATAACTTACGGATATTGATCTGAATAATCTTTATTGCCATCATTTTCTTCTGTTTGGTTTTCCTCCAGATCCTCAGTTAATTTTTCTTCTTCTAAAGCAGTAACAAATCTATCCACAGACAGCTTGGCTCCAAGAATGATGTTGCTTCTTACTTCTAATACTAGACCTAAATGCAAAGGCATATTAAGGTATTTGTTGCCAGATATGTACTGTGTGTTTAGGCTACTGTCATATGGGTTAGTCATATAGGATTTTTGGCATAAGTAAAATGAACTGAGCTTTTATGATTGTACTTTTGTTGTATAAAGAAATATTTCAAACAAAAAGCGTAAATACTGACAAACAGTCAAATATGTTACAAAAATGTGGATTATCATGCTCCATTTTCTAAACTTGTTTTTATATTTTTCTTTTTTTGCCAGAGTCTGAAATGCATATCCTCTGCTAGTGAAAACCCAGAGTAACACTTTTCATATCAGTGAAATGATTCCAGATTTACACCAGAACAAATGAGACCTGAATCTGGCTCTTAATAATTCATAATAAATTTTATAGTTGTAGGCTTTGTAAAGCATGCATCTGTTGTTCTCTTTGTGAAAATTTCCTAAAGAAAATGACGTATCCATCAAAAGTACAATATTTCAATGGGCCCTTCCACCCAAAAATCTTATCTGTAAGTCTGAAACACTATTCAGTTTATGAGGCAGATAAGTGATTTGTCCAAGTTTACACAATCAGTTTGCAGCACAGCTGAGAATTGAAATATGACTTGTAGCTCTCAATCCTCTTGTTTAAGTACAGTTTATGCATGCTCTCTCTCCCTCTCTCAGTATATCACTGTTGACTATTTTGATGGTTCATAGGTATTTGGATAAATAGACATTATATTTCTTCCTTAGGTTATACATTGTGAAACAAGGATTTACCCTTATTCACATAATGAAAAGCCTATTCTCCCTAGATGATAGTTATTTTTATATAGGCAAATAATCACATTCATTAGAACAGAGTTCAAGAATTCCCATGGCAACAATATAATTGCACCATGGAGAATATCTGTATACCCCACAAATTGTGCCAGATGTTTGCAGGCATGCCCCTTTCAGCCTAAAAATGATTTCATCATTAAGAAGTAAAGATTTGGAAATTACTATATACTTGTTTATTGACAAACTATTTTTCTTTATAAACAACATGATCCTAATTATACAATAGCATAGTGGCTAGAGGATTGACCCATGAAGTGGAGGGACTGCTCTTTCTTCTGCTTGGAAGGCTTAAAAAAACGTCCAGGTTACTGGCTCTTGTGCTGTGGAGTCACTGGGTCAGCAAAAATGTACAAGAGGGAGCGTAATTTTTTGCCTAGTACTGTAGTTTGGGCACTATCTTGGGAATAGGAAGACCAGGGTTTTCATCCTAGCTTCCAAGACTATTTATGTATTTCATCTAATGACTGTTTCACATCAAGTATATTAACAGTCTTGGGACCAGGGATTGGAGCCAAAGTCTTACCTATTCTTGAGAAAGAGCCTTGTTTGGTCCTTTAAGGAAGGTATAGGAACCTATCTACACTCAGGGGAGGCTTCTGGCCTCCAAATAGACAGAGGTGCCTTGAACCAGCTTTGAGCATGGGTTTATTATATTTATTTTTATATATAATAAATATATTATATTTATTATTATATTTGACATACACCTCTTTGTATCCCATTGGCAAGCTCTGCTTAGAGTGCTGGCTGTTTAGGGTCCCATTCAGAAGTGCCTAACAATCTCCATCCAGGAAGAGCACACACCGACTGCAGAAACTTCCTTAGCCTGATGAAGGGTTTTTGAACCCGCAAGCTTGCTTAATAATTATTTTCCAACTATTTGGGGTGGTCTAATAAAAAGATATCAGAGTCACCCAAAGAACCTTGTCTAACAATCTCCTGGCACCATATAAGAAGCCTAAGCAGTTTCACAAAGGATCCTAGATTCCACTATAGAGCCTAAGGGCGCATCCAGATGAGCATGGATCCTGTCTGCAGCACCACACACTGCACATGCTGGCGTTCCCCGCACTGCTACTTTGCAGGGCAGGGAGGAGGGTTGACCTTGGGAGATTCCAGGGTCAAAAAAACCCATGCCAAAAAAAGCAGGGAGGTGCATGTAGAGGCAGTGTGCACCACCCAAAACTGAAGCCTGGCTGGCTGAAGCTACACGCCAGTTGCCCAGGCTTCCTACTGCAGGAGCACCACAGCTGCAGCTCCTGGAGGTCCACAGGGCCTCAAATAAGGCTGCTGGGGACTCAGTTGCTGGCTCCAGCCTCTCCTACCCCACCTGGAGTAACCTGCCACGCATCAGAGTGTATGTGGCATGGGCATTCCCAGGGGACAAGTTGCAGTGGCACGAAGTGTGCTGCTGCTACTTATCCACAGGGAAACGCACGTTCCCACTAATCTGCATGCGCCCCAGGTGCCTAAAAGTTAGGAGTTGCAATGTTTAACTTCCATATACTTATGTCCTTTTTTATCTGGTTCTAAATTGTTAAGTATAAACATTTTAGGGTGGCTTATACATGTACGGAAAGATCAATCACCTCTGTAGCATGATGGACCTGTATTTAGGGAAAAGGTCAGTCAGGCATTAATTCTCCCCAGCCTTGTCAAGGAATACTTGACAAAGTTAAATTTAGGCATAAGACTAAATTTCTGCATTGGTATTTTGAGACACAAGACATTATAATTATTTTCTTTGCAGATATGAAGTTAGCAAATTATTTCAGTATACTTTTTTGATAAATTAGTATAATCCTGTATGTAAGCATGCTTAGTTTTCCACGTAATTTATATTTCTTAAAGTAAGACAGTTCTTGGATATTAATTAGATCCCAATTGATTACTAAAACCTAGTTAGCAACGTTTGGAGTCTGATCCTACAAACTCTTAATTACGTAAGACATAAGCAGGACTGCCTGCATAAACAAGAACCTTCATATGGATAAGGATTGACATGCTATGGTCATTGTTAATTATGTACCTCTATATTTCTATTATATTATGCTAATCTCATGTGTTTTATGTGCTTAATCATACATTCATATTTATCTGCTTGTATATGTTAAATACTTATTGGCAGAGCCAGACACCCACGAAAATGGATTTCTTTTAGTATTTAAGGTAGCTGAGAAAATAGTAACTTTATTACTAAAAAAACCATGATGATCCTAAAGACCCTTCTAATCTCTGGCATAAAAAGAACAGCCAAGCCTGGTCTGACAGGGACTGTATTCCTGTGCAAGTAGTCTATGAAATACATCCAAATTCTGTGCAGATATAGGGAGTTCCTTTAGAAGATGAGCATGCTGCCCAAGCTCCCCATGGCTGGTAGTGAACCACTGACTCCTTTAAGGTAACTCTGATAGTGCTCATCTAGTTCTTGTGCCTTTTTGTTAAAGAAAAATAAACTACTCAGACAATCAGAACCACACAGTGGCTCATGCCAACAACTGTAGATTCTCACAAATCCCCACAAATTGGACACCCTGCATAGACCCTGGCAATCAAGAGAAATGAAAAGAGCAAGTACACATGCCACATGTGGAGATTACTGCACAAAACAGTGGTTTGTGTAACAGATAATTACACAAGAAAGATTAAACCAGTGATGGGTAGGTGGCGGGACAACATCAATGTCTGGCAGATGAAGTAAAAAAAAGGCTACTTTCATTCATGAACTGCTTGGCAGCTAATCCTCTAGTTCCATTATTAAAGAAGCTAGATTGGACAGTACGCAAATTTACACAATTAGTTTTGGAGGTTTTCTTTGGTATTGAATTTATAGAGGCATGAGTACTATGTTGATTTCCCACTATTCTGAAATGCATTGTCCACAAACTCCTATGAACAACTATAAAATTATCCTTTTCTGTTTGCTTCATGTAGGTGGTTATTCCAGTACTGTAATATTTGTAACAATACAGGACTAAGACTGGATTCCAATTTAGCTGCACTAGTGACTTGATTTGTGACCCTGGCAAATCATTTCACTTCATTCTACCTTCTTTACCTATTTCTAAAATGGGCATAATTCCACTTACTCACATGTAATAGGAGTCTTAATGTTTCTAAATTGCTGTGAGGCTGTCACACATGCAAAGCAAGTGCAAATTATTATTCTCACTTTCTTTCCATCTGGGAGACTGAATTTAACACTCCTACCATTTCATACAAAAGCACATATTTCTCCAAAAACACTGAGACATGATAACTCTGAATGAAATAATACACTAAAATAAGTACAAGCTTACTTTCAGGGCTACACATGATACAATAAGCGTGGATTGCTGATATATCCGCTGCTAAATTATTAAGTAGGAGACGTTTCTTGTGCTGAGCCATAGTCAAGTGAGGATCAGTCCACTGTTCTCCACATGAAACGTATACCTGTCACAAAGGTGTAAAAGTTATTTGCTTCACATACTTATGAGGTGTCAAATACTATGTTCAACATGTAATACAATTCTGAATATGTGAAAAAGAAAAAAAACCACACCAGCTTCCATAGCACCTGGTCCACACAGAAAACTGAAATAATATTAAGCATTCAAATACATTTAGAAAAAAATTATGAAATCTAAAGGTACATTGAACATCCAAGTCAATGAACTCTCTTTTGGCACAACAGTCATAAAGGAAACTACTAGTCAATAGTTTTTTATCCTTTGTCACATGCACAAACAAACAGGCTAAGAAAAGAAACATTCAAAAAAGTATTATTTTTTATTCCCCATCAACATTTCAGAATCTCCCTTCACTATTTAGGTTTTTTTATGTAGGGAGATCCTTCAGAAGATGAGCATGCTGCCCAAGCTCCATGGAAGCTGCCATTTTACTGGTATATCATCATCAGTGGCCCTATTTTAAGAAGCAAATTATGGTCCCAGTTTTTCAAAATGGCCTATTAATGTTACTACTTGTGTCTGTGAAACACTCTATAAGTACTTGTATAGGTACTATATTCAGAGATCCCAATGCATGTTTAAGACTTAAGATGAAATCCTGCTCCTATATGAGTTAATGAGAGTTTTATCACTGACTTCAGCAGCACAAAGATTTTACTCAATTATAACATATATATGCTAAATTAGGGCTGTCCAACTGGTGGCTCACAGACCACAAGAGGCCAACAAGGGGTTAACATTTAGCCCTTGGGCTTGTGGCTTCCCCAGGGTTGTCAGCTGTCTGCTTATTTATGGACAGTCTCTAAAAATGGCTGTCCATAAAGTCCATCCATTAAAATCCAAGCAGCTGTGAGCTTGATTGAAAAACCTGTCTCAGAAAGAGTCTGGAGGCAATCGTTGATGGCCAGACAACAGAGCAGTGACACCTGATGTCTGAACAAGAGTGCAGCACCCTTCAAAGAGCATTCAGAGGGGGAAGTGGGGCCATCAGGGTTCAGGTTGGGAACTGACTGGGGGGGGCAGCATGGTGCGGGGTGCAATTGGGGGTATTGGGGTGCAGGGGTGAGTAGGGAATCCTTGGAGTGAAGGCAGTATGGTGGAAAACCATTGCTGTAGTCAAGAAGGTTTGCCAACCTAAAACCATTTTGTTACAGACAAACTGTAACACTTTTGCTGACAACCAAATGTTTTTACTATGGTTAGTGTTAAACCCCTATATTTGAACCTGGCCCTTGTCCAGGGCCTAGCAGAAGAGTTCCATTTACATTAGGTAAAATAAGTCAGTAAAAAGTATATCACTAAAAAAGTTTGGTTGTCAGTAAAAAGTCTGCATATTATCAATAAAAAAAATTGTTTTGTGCTGGCAGCCCTGGGCTCTCTCTCCCTCCCCTGGCTTCTGCTGCATGACCCAGCCCAAGCAAGTGGAGAGGTAAGGCTCAGTGCAGTGCATGGTTCTGGGGAAGTCAGCAGCCCCAAGTACATGTCCAGTGCACTGCTACAGGAAGTTGCAGATAAGGTCCAGATGAGTGGAGAAGCACCCACCTGCCCATGCTCACTGCAGAGGGATATGAAGGAGCCTGCCTACTTGTGTGTATGGTACATTGGAGTGGATAAATGCCTGCCCACACATGTCCTGGGGAGCCCATGGTCCCTGCTGATGTGGCCATTGGGCATGTGGCCCATAGTCACTGACAAGTTGAACAGCCCTGTTTTAAACTATAGAAGACATTCTGAATATTATATCTACGTAAAATGAAAAGCTAATCTGTAAAAAATTTCTAATTGTTAAAACAATAATCCACTAGGAAACCAGTATCAAATAATCAAGTAGGGTAGAAAGTCACTATCTAGACAATTTAATAATGCAAATAAATATAGCTTCCTGCAAGATAATCCTTTTTCTTGTATGATACATCCTAGGTCCGGTAAAAATGGCAAAGCACTAGGAAGTACTTTGAAATTGAAAATATTGCAAGTTGTGGTTTCACTGCTGCAATTGCTTCTTTTATTTAACAGGGCCCTTTTCACTATTTCATCGTTAAGTTTCTTCATGTTTTATGAGACAGTTAATGGAACAGCCTTCATAATAAATGGGTATAAGAGTAACCCTTTTGGAGTAGCAGTTAATGTAGTGTGGGGAATTGAAATGAATGCATTTCTCATGCAAAATCCAGTATTTTGGCTTGCAGCACGACTCAATATGAACAGATGTTGATTAGAATGGCAATACTTTTATAAAGTATAACAAAGGTGTGTTTTGATGAGTTTGGGATGCGGTTTATGTATTTGACTGTATGGGTTACTTTAACTTTTTTGAAAACTGAGTTGTTGTATTGTTATTCATTAATCTGTAAGGAGTAATGATCCCAAATTGAAGAAAAGGTGTGTTAGAAATTGGTGGTGTTGATTCCGATGCTTTTACTCCAGGTCTGCAGTGTATAGGCCTGCAAAGAGTTAAAGTTACAAAGTTCATGTCTATATGGTGCAAAGTAGTGCTGTGCAGAGATATGCCAAGCAAGCTCTGTACATACAGGCTCTTGGACCAGACTCAGAGTATTTGTATTATTAGGACTTTATGCCCAGGGTAATTTGCCACCAGTAGTACCACTAGGGTGGGGCAAATGGGGCAGCAGCCCCAAGCACAGACTTGAGGGGGCCATGCAAAAATATTAGCTGCCACCACAGCTGCACAATTGCCCCGGTTGGCATGGTGGCTGCTGGAAGTCACCATGCCCCCATGCATCTCAGTACCCTGAATGCCCAGGTGCTTTATTAGATCTGCTTGCCCCACCAATTAGTTTATACACAATGCTATGCTAACATGACTACTCTGCTTCTTATCCTAGAACTAATATGCACAGGGATAGTTTGGATATCCGTGCATGGCTCTGTCATGCACTGTACAGACATACCCTCAATCCATTTGAGCTTCTCTTCCTGTCTATGCCTTGTAGCCCTCACCAAAATTTTCACATTGTGCCACTTAAGCACCCAGCATCAAGATGCATCTCAGAATCCCTTACACGGCCCTTCTAAAATCAGTCACAGATTTCCTGTTTTTCCTTCTGCATTTGACTTTCAGCGTAGATCGTCACCAGGTACAGGCTTTAGGAAGGCCTTTAATAGGTCAAACCTATTTATCACTGTAGACGAAGGTACAGTGTTCCAATCGTATGGGAACAAAACATTCTGAAGTAATGTTATTACCTTGAGTTTCTTCCTTATAAATTTTTTCTTACCAGTTGATCTCTTTCAAGGTCTTTCAAAATAAAGACTTCCATCCCCTTTTCAGTGAATAATCTTCGAGCAGCAGTGCATAAATTCAACATTGTGGTACACCTTTAATAATGAAAAATAGACATACATACTCCATTTTTCATCAAGTTCACCTATGCTGGGAGCACTATTTTACTGATGCTGTAAACCATTAAAGCCCAGAATTTTTTGATTAAGTTACAAAGAATATTTTCAAAGCTAAACTAATGTAACATCAGACTGTTAAGTGATGTCATTTATAGATATACAGTATGTCTGGATAAATTTATGATTGGAAAACAAAAACTGCATTTGAATTTTTACCTTTCTAAGAAATGCTGGAATTCTATTCTATATATATCCATTCCAGTGTCTTCATCAGGATGCATTTTCTGGTTCTCCTTTGTTTTCTGTCTCTTCTTTGCATTAATATTTCTAAAGCAAATAAATACAATTTTGATTGATACAGTGCATAAACTATCAGTTAAATAAGTGCAGTCTCAAAATTATCAAGTCATCCACTTATGCATTTTTCATGCAACAAACAAAACAAAAATCCTCTCAATATATAATTTAGCAAAATTTAAGGGATTTTCAATCATACACTTGTGAAAAGTTGATTTTTATCCATGGCTGTCAATCAAATACAAAGCCTTTTACCTAATGGAATCTGGGGACATTTGAGACTTACAATCACATACAAGGAAACCTCATTAAATACACTGTTTATCATTAAACTGCTGCCAAAAGCAGCATGTGCTCAGTAATGGAAACCAAGTATGAAGATGATTAAATGAAGCCAACACTAAGCATGACTATAAAACACATGGCTCATACTGGGCAAACATACTGATATGAACCTTTTTATTATTTTTATGATGAAAGTATCAAAAACTTAAAAACCTGCATCTGCTTATATTGCAATATAAAAGAAAAGTTCATCAACTACAGGCCAACAAAACAAGATGATGTCAAAACTTAGAAACCTGCTTCTATCACTTCCAAAACTTCTGACAAATAAATCCAATCAAAAACACAAAACATTTATACACGGCGTGTCTACATGAGATGCTTAATGAGAAGTAGCCTAATAACACTGCACAGTCACATGCTGAGCAAAAACCATGCTAATACATTACTGCTCAGTAATATTAGGTTACTGTGTACTGTCACAAAAAAACATGCATCGGCACTACTGCACAGTTGGGCTAGTGATAGACATTCAAAAAGCCAGAGCCTGAATTGATTCAATCTTTGCAGGTTAGTCTAACCTGGCTAGATTGAACCAACTTGCAAGTGAATAGGAATTCACAAAATGCAGGCACATGCCTGCAGTGGCTCAGGCCAGGAGCCGGGGGGGGTGCTAGAGCAGCCCTTGGCTGCAGGGAAGCTGTGATGGGGAGGCATGGCCAGCCCTGGCAGTAGCCTGGAGTGAACTGGCCTGGGAGGGGGTTTAATTTCCCCCCTCCCTGTCCCCCCCCAGCATGGACCTGAGCCGGGGTCTGCCAGGCACTCCTCACTTTGCTGCTGCTGTGGTGGGGCTGGGGTGTGGTCAAACACCAGTCAGCATGGCCCCCTGCGGCAGAGGAGGCAGGGAGAGAGGTTACCCCTCTACCCCTACTGCCCCTGGGGGACTTCAACTGGAGTCTGTCCACCCCAACTGCTGCTGCCGCCACTCACTCCCTGCATGAGGCGAGCGACACAATAAGCCCACTCCTTCCCCTTTTGCCAGATGCCAGAGGGAGTGGGGAATAACACCCCTCCCTGCCCCATTGCCTAAGGGGCTCTGCTGGCCGGTCTCTGCCCAGGCCTCTAACCCTGCTGCTGGAGCAGCAAGGGGACAGTGTCCTGACGGGGCAGCAGCCCCTGTCCTGGTGTCTGGGGAGCATGAGCCTCTTCCTGGCAGGGGGGCTGCAAGCAGGGGGTCAGAGCTGCTACAGACTATGTGGGACAAGCAGTGGCACCGGGGCTCAGAGGGGGCATAACCCCCACAAGTCCCCCCAGTGCCACCACCGCTGCTCACCCTGAGAAGTCTGCAGCAGCTCTGCCTGCCCCACAGAGCGGCCCCTCTACCTGCAGCATGTCCTCCCAACCCAATGGAAAGAGTCTTGTGCTCCTCAGACACCAGGACAGGGGCTGCTGCCCCATCAGGGCCCTGACCCCTCACTGTGGGAGCACCTGGCAGACTTTGCCTTGGGTCTGTGCCAGTAGGACAGGGAGAGAGTAAATCCCCTCCCCGGTCAGTTGGCTCCAAGCTATGCTGGGGCTGGTCAGGCCCCCCAGCATCTGGCCGGGCCCCCGCCCCTGCCTGTCCCTGCTTGGGCTAGAGAGCAGAGGAGTGGGGCCAGCCCTGCTCCACTGGAGCAGAGAGCACAGTCCAGAGAGCATGCTGGGATGCTGGGGGACTCTATCTTACACCAGGAAGGGGTCTGGGACAGAAGTTGCATAAACCAGTTTGAGCTCAATCAGTTAAGTCTGATACCACATTTGACCAAGTTTATCTCAAACTGGTTTCAGTCATTTTGAAACTGGCTTATGTGCACTGAACTTATATTCTGTTACAGGTTTAAACCAGTTTCTGATCACTTAAACCAGTTTATGTGTAACTTCTGTCCCTAGCCTAACTGGTGTTACTGTACATTTAGTTAGTACTTCATTAAGCAAGTACTAAACCAAATGTGCAGTAACTAATGCACATAAATGAATGTGTCAGTGTGCCCACATTGTCCAATGATTCCCTTCTTTCCCAAATCCCCATTAATCCAGGGGCCTGGGTGCTTTTCTTCCTTAATACTGCATTACACCCTGTTGCCTTTCAAGCTTGTCTATTAACACCTATCACCCTTTATCCCATAGATGTTTTGTCTTAACCCCTATCATGCTGTTTCCTAGCCAATCCATGGCCTGTGGCTACAGCTTCACCACCTTCCAGGCCTCATCATCTTTTCACCCTCCTCGATGTACTAGGTATCTCCATTTTTCTCTTTTCCATAAATCCATTACCTGCTCCTTACCTAGTTGTCTTGTGTCTTGCCAGCAATACCACCCCAGTTTACTCAAGTCCAAACACAAGGTTTCTTCTGCTGAGAGTTCCAGTTGTTGCAAGACTAGTAAGTTTCTTGCCTTCTACAATGCTGCATGAAAGCTTACTACAGCTTTCCAGACTTTTCCTCCACCCTTCCTCTGGGTCCTGGCCTATACTCGGCAAAGAACCGCTTCTAGTGTGAGCTGGCTTTTAGCACCCAGCTGGTATAGGAGTTTCTCTGCCTTCCCACAGACTGTTCTGGTAAACTGATTCTCCCACCTCATCTGCCATTTGTTTTCTTACCTGCAACATGTTTATTTGGAGCATTCACCTGCTCTACACAGTCCCCAGCTGTAATGGAGCACACATACCAGGGTGTGCTAGCAGTCAACTGAAGTCCTGGTGCTGCTTTTGTTAGCTTTTTTTCAAACACCCTCTTCCAAATCATCCATGCTTTTTCCCTATAAACCTCCCCACTAAGGATACAGTCTCTTTTCCCTGATTCAGGCCTTAATTTTTTTTATGGTTCACCAACTCTGTTTTGGCTATTGTCTGCATCCTGTACCAATTCACAAATTTTACAGTCTTTTCTTACATTGGCAGTATTCTCTCTGCTATTTGAATGTTTCAGTCTACAGATCCAAAAATTAAGTCTATGCAGAATCATGAATGGACTACTACATCCACTCTAGTAAACTTCCTCTCAACTCCAGGCACTGCCTTTTGGGTGTCCTATAGTTTATGCTCTGCTACCATCCTTGCCAGTATCCATGAGAACTTATCTAATCTCGAGGCATCACTTCCCATCCTATCCCTTTCCTCCAATATACAAGTAAAATCTCAAACCAGTATTAGGGGCAGTGTTTCTGCTAGGATGATGGTTAGTTCCATTAAGAACAGTGTGTAAATGTTAAGTATTCTAACCTTTCCCCTCTCTTCCCCCCGAGTCA